GAACCCACAGACAGGAAAGGCGTCCAACGATTTATCGGTTTTGCAAATTTTTACCGGAAGTTCATCAAGAACTTCTTGGGTCTGGTCTCCCCCATTACTCAGCTAACCAAGCTGGGAACCCGGTTCAGATGGACACCAGAGGCGCAGGAAGCTTTTGAAGCCTTGAAGAAGCTGTTCACCTCGGCACCCATTTTGGGTCACCCAGACGCCGCCCTGCCCTATATCTTGGAGGTGGATGCATCGGAGAATGCGGTAGGTTCCATCCTCTCCCAGCGGAAAGGCACCAAGGAATTGCTCCATCCTGTAGCATTCTTCTCACGGAAGCTTACCCCAGCGGAGAAGAATTATGATATCGGTGATCGAGAGCTACTGGCGATCAAAACGGCGTGTTAGAGGAATGGAGGTACCTGCTGGAAGGTGCGGTGCACCCCATCTTAATATTTACTGACCACAAAAACCTGGAATATCTGAGAACCGCCAAGCGTCTACGCCCGCGACAGGCAAGATGGGCACTATTCTTTTCAAGATTCAACTTCCACATTACGTACCGGCCTGGATCAAAGAACACTAAGCCAGATGTGTTATCACGTATGTACGAGGACGCCAAGGAGATCCCAGTACCCGACACCATCCTGTCCTCGGGTAACTTCTTGGCCCTTCAGTCGGACCTTCGTTCTAAGATAATGGAGGCATCCACAACCGTCTCTACCCCAGGCGGAGGGCCCCTCCAGAACAAGGGGGGACTCCTATGGAGGGAAGATCGAATTGTGGTGCCGGAGGAAGCCCGAACCCTGGTCTTGGGGCATTGCCCGGACCACCCGATGGCGGGGCACTTTGGCCCAGAAAAGACCCTGGAACTTCTCCGACGCTCCTTCTGGTGGCCGGACATGGCTAAAGATTGTAAGGGCTATGTAAGGTCCTGTATCACCTGCCAGAAGAACAAGCCATCTAGAAACAAAGTTTGGGGTCTGCTACGACCCTTACCGATTCCTGAATGGCCTTGGCAAAAGATCTCGTTAGACTTTATAGTCGAGCTTCCACCATCACTAGACCACACGGCAATCCTGGTGGTCGTGGACCGCTTGTCCAAGATGGCCCACTTCATCCCGTTGAAGAAAACCCCCTCGGCGGCCGAGACTGCGCGAGTCTTCATTCGTGAGGTAGTAAGGCTGCATGGGGTCCCCGAAGACATTGTCTCGGACCGGGGGGTCCAGTTCATGTCAAGATTTTGGAGAGCACTGTGCAAAGCCCTGGACATTAAATTGTCCCTCTCCTCTGCGTTCCACCCTCAAACTAACGGTCAAACCGAAAGGACCAATCAGACCCTGGAGCAATACTTAAGATGCTACACTTCGTTTACTCAAGATGACTGGATGCCACTTCTACCCCTAGCAGAATTCGCGTACAACAACGCCCGCCACTCAGCGACGGGACAGTCCCCGTTCTTTGCCAACTATGGTTTTCACCCCGTCTTCCTCCCGGATTTGGTCTCGGAATGCCCAGTACCAGCAACGCAAGATGTGGTAACGTTTTTCTCCGCGAACAATAAGAAGCTTCAAGAGGCCATCAGTCGGGCCCAGGAAGACTACAGGAAGGCATTCAACAGGAAACGGAGGGGAGATCTGGTGTTGCGGCCTGGGGAGAAGGTTTGGCTAGCGACGTCCAATTTAAAGATGCTCTGCCCGTCGAAGAAATTGGGACCCAAATTTATAGGCCCCTTCTGCATTAAACGGATGGTTAACGAAGTGGCCTACGAACTCACTCGAAGTGTGGCCTTCCTGACACACTCAAGATCCACCCAGTCTTACATGTGTCCCTGCTGAAGCCAGTAATCCCAGATGCCTTCCCTGACTGAGTATCTAGACCCCCGGAAGCCATAACGGTCGAGGGAGAAGAAAAATTTGAGGTAGAAACAATCCTGCAGTGCCAAAGGAGGGGAGGCCAGACCCAATTCCTTATCAAATGGAAGGGCTATGGCCCTGAGGACAATTCTTGGGAGCCAGCCCATAATGTCCATGCACCCAGACTTGTCCGGAGGTTTTTTTCCGCGATCACCCGTGGTGGAGAGATCGGGTGGGCATCCGGAGGTCGCCCGTGGGGGGGGGGGGGGGCAATGTCCGGGATCTCCTCGATCCCCGCCGCGATGGTCCCGGCGCAGGCGCAGTGCACCGCCCTGTGCAGGGACACGGGCACTAGGTCCGGGCCGGCCGCGGCGTTCGAGTTCGCGCATGCGCAGTAGAAGCCGCGGCCGCCCGCTGGGCACCAATGGCAGCGCAGGGCGGGATATTTAAATGGCCCTGAGCTGTCATTCAGTGCCTTCTGGTCTTTCCTGCATCCTGTATCCTGCGAACCTGTACCCTGTAACTTTTTGACCCGGATTGTACCTGACCTTGCTGCTTTCTCTATTCTGACCCTTGCTTTGTCTGACCTCTCTCCTGAATGCCCCCTATTGGATTTGACCTGCTGTTGCTGACCTGCCGTGTGACCCGACCATTCTATGCCCGCTGCCTTGTACCTTGCCGTCCTCTCTGTTACCGACCCGGCCCGTCTGACCTTGCTCATCCATCCATCCATCCATCCCTTGCAGTGGGGTCTTCTGACCTCCTCATATCAGACTCTTCCCTGTGGGAGCCCTTGGCGCATACCACTACCACTGACGGACGCACCCAGTAGCCACGACCTGGTCTCGGGGGGCTCCAAGTCCATCCCCACCATCAGGGGCCCTGGTGAACAAGCACCCTTGGACTTAGACTCTGTGCGCTGGGGACGCCTATTTCAGTGGAGTGCTAGTGGTACCGCCAGGTGGTCCCTTACTCCCCCAGCTCTGCTGATCCCCTGCCCGGTAGTACCACTAGTTCTGCTCATCCCCCGCCCGGTAGTAACCCCAGCTCTGCTGATCCCTTGCCTGGTAGTACCCCCAGCTCTGCTGATCCCCTGCTCAGTAGTATCCCCAGCTCTGCTCATTCCCCGCTCAGTTGTACCCCCAGTTCTGCTGATCTCCCGTCAGTAGTATCTCCAGCTCTACTGATCCCCCGCTCAGTAGTACCCCCAGCTCTGTTGATCCCCAGCTCTGATGATAAGTAGTATCCCCAGCTCTGCTAATCCTCCACTCAGTAGTATTGCCATCTCTGCTGTTGCCCCAATCAATAGTACCCCCAACTCTACTGATGCACCACTCAATAGTACACCCAGCTCTGCTGATCCCCCTCTCAGTGGTAACCCGTAGCTTTGCTGATCCCCCTTACAGTAGTAACCCCCAGCTCTGCTGATCCCTCACTCAGTAGTAATCCCCAGCTCTGCTGATCCCTCACTCAGTAGAAATCCCCAGCTCTGCTGATCCCTCACTCAGTAGTAATCCCCAGCTCTGCTGATCCCTCACTCAGTAGTAATCCCCAGCTCTGCTGATCCCTCACTCAGTAGTAATCCCCAGCTCTGCTGATCCCTCACTCAGTAGTAATCCCCAGCTCTGCTGATCCCTCACTCAGTAGTAATCCCCAGCTCTGCTGATCCCTCACTCAGTAGTAATCCCCAGCTCTGCTGATCCTCTGGTTTGCTCTTTTCTCTCTGGTTCCCGCTCACCTCCCACTATATTGCTCCCATAATGCGCACCACATGTGACATTGCTAGTTTCTCCTGCTCTGTTTTCCCAGCTCTGCTGATCCTCTGCCAGTCAGTCCTTTCTCTCTGGTCCGTACTCACCGTCTGCTATACGTTTCACACCACGTATGCCATTTGCTAGTTGCTCCGCTCCAGTCCGGACCCCGCTCACCTTTTTTGGTCCGTGCTAAAATCGGCTTGCATGGGTATTCACACCTATGCAATCTGATTCTGCACATCTCACCGCGTTTTACGGACTGCTTTCGGGGTGTGTTAACATACACACTTGCAGAGGTTCGCATGGAGGGGGTGAGATTCTGATGCGGTGCGGAATTTGTAAAGAAAACGCTGCAAATTCCGCACTACATCAGTGTGAACCAGGGCCCAGAGTCTAAAAAGCAAGTCCAAAAAGCAAGTCCAATGCAACATTTTTTTTTTGTTTTGTTTTTTTTTTTTTTCGTGTTGCAGTTTGTGGTGTTAAAATGTCCAATTTTTCAAATAATCCCCATGCATCGTTTAAATTAACATATGAGGCTCCAGAATGCCCAAAAAAGTTTGAAAAACTTTGGTTCCCCCTGGCTGGACTGGCAAGCTACCATACTGCTTGAATAATGTAACCATACTGTATATACAGTATAGGAGTGTATGCAGGTGGAAGCTAAAGGGTTATTTGAACTGTACATTGATGTTGGATCTGCACAATAGAAGTGCACATGATGTTATAGGTGGGTGGCTGGTATTTTCCTGTACAGAATTGCTACATTATGTGAACATACGTTCAATTGTATGTTCTTTATATGTTTTACAATTGTGTTTAACCACTTCAAGTCCGGACACTTTTACCCCCTTCCTGCCCAGGCCAATTTTCAGCTTTCAGCACTATAACACTTTGAATGACAATTGCGCGGTCATGCAACACTGTACCCAAATGAATTTTTTAGCATTTTTTTGAGACAGATAAAGCTTTATTTTGGTGGTATTTATTCACCTCTGGAATTTTTATTTTTTTGCTATGTAAATGAAAAAGTCCAAAAATTTTGAAAAAAAGTGTTTTTCTTACAAAATTTAGCAAATAAATAGTATTTCATCATAAATCTTGGCCAAAATGTATTTCATTATCTTTTTAGTTTAAAAAAAAAAAAAAAATAACCCAAATTAGTTTATAACCAAAAATTATAATTTTTAAACTCTTTTTTATTATTTGTTTTTTTTGTTTTTTTTTACATACTGTCACCCTAGCAGTACAGTGTCACCATGGTAACACTGTACTACTTGTGGGGGGTGATGAAGATTTTTTTTTTTTTTTTTTTTTTTTTTTACACTGATTGCTTTTACACCCAAAAAGGCTGTAAAAGCAATCATTTCTCCTTCTCTCTAGCTGCATTCTTGCAGCCATTGAGAACTACTGTGTGAGCTGTGATTGGTCACAGCTTGTCACATGGTACAAGGTTGTCGTGAATAGCCTTATACCATGTGACCTCTGTGATCATTCACAGATTTCACACGTAGTAAGCAATGATGTCACAAGTGACATCTTGCTTTACTACTCTGCATGTGATCACTGATTGGCCAACGAGTGATGACATGATCGGGACCTCGCACAGAGGTCCCGTCTGACGATCGGCGCTCCACTGTGTCCGGAGGACACAGCGGGCACCGGATAGCGGTGCTGCGTGCTCCCTGGGAAAATGCGGGTGCTGTTTATAAACAGCAGGCGGGCAGCAAGTGGTTAAGCTCATGAAAAACAATGAAAAATCCAATTATTTTGGTGCATTAATGTGTTCTGTTAATCCATTAAAAAATGAATCAACTAGCTTCACCCACCAAGATGAAGTCGGGTTCGTCCGGACAGATATTAACATGTCAGTGACAGGTTTGCCAGATCATTAAAATTCTGAACGACAGTACGGAGTAAATGCAAATATCATCAAGAACATCCTATGTATTTGGCATGGCCTTGTGATTAAATGTTTCTTTTTTTGTTTAATTTAATGTTCTAAAATCCTTTGATTTTACATTTCCATTAAATGTATTGCACAATAAAGCTTTCTTTGAGCTGAAGAATGTCTCATTCCATCGCATATCCAAAAAATGAGGATTTTCCTCATTTAAGTGGTTAAAAACCCTAACATATACCCAGTGAAGTGACTGGCCTCAGGTGATACAGAGATGAAACAAATCATCCTACATAAGTTGTACCTGTCGATCTACAGTCTTCTATACAGGTGTTCAAAGTGTACAATTTATAAAGCTTTTCTGAGAGTTCAGAAAAAAAAGGTGGTGGTGGACAGCTGAAATGACACACTGCAGAGCTCAGGGAGGAGATCTCTGGCAGCTGATTGGAGGGAAGGGACACACCCCCTTAACACAGCTCACAGGAACAGAGCTGAGGTTGTCAATCTGCTGGAGGTCCCTCCCCTGTCACCATTTTTTCTCTTGGTGTCAGAAGTGATTCATGCTGTAAGCAGAGGAAGGAGGCAGCAGACAGAAATGACAATTAATGCTCCCAAGGGCTCATGTACACTGCAGCTGATAAACTCACGTTTAGGAGCTGTTCAGCGTTTTTTTTCAGCAGCCCCTGAACTCTCCCTAGAGTAGATTTTATCAGTGTTTCAAACGCAAAACGCTTGTAAACGCAGCTAAACGCATTTATAGGCGTTTGCGTTTGAACATTTTTTTTAACTTTTCCATTTCCAGATGCTGTCCAGAGCCTTTTTTCATCATGAAAAATGCATGCAAAGTGTTTTCCCCCGGTACTCAAATGGACCCGGTACACCATACTTTGAGATTTTGCATGAAAAAAATATATTAGACACTGCTGCAATCATTTCTGCACAGCTGGAACACATCCAAACACCACAAAAAAAAAAAAGACAGCTAATCTCAACAAATACTGCTCTCTCTGCTTCTGCTCTCTCCATTTCTCTCGAAATGTCTGAAATAGTTAATTTTTTACTGTTTTTCAGTGCATTCTGGAAGGTCTCCTGAGAAAACGCTAAACGAAAACGCACATAAACGCAGCTAAACAGACCTTTTTTAACCTAAGTTTTCCAGCAGTCAGTTTCCATCGTTCAGAAGTGTCCCGTGTACATGGGGCCTTATAGAGACAAGCTGTAGAGGGAGATGCTTTGTTCATATTTTATATCTGATGTTTACAACCACTTTAAGGAGGAGCCAGGCAAATAATTCCTTTACTCTCCGTCACATTCATGGGTTAAAATCCTTTTGTATTTCTTTTCTCTGTGGGCTGAATGACAGAGATCTATTAGATCCCTCCATCTACCCTAAACAGCATGGATGGAGTCATCTCCATTGCCGGCTATTGTATTATTATTATTATTATTATTATTACAGGATTTATATAGCACCAACAGTTTGCTCAGCGTTGTACAATATAAAGGGAGACAATACAGCAACAATACAGTTCAATACAAGAGGGATAGGAGAGCCCTGATCCTGGGAGCTTACAATCTAGGAGTAAATTAGGATCTTCCCATACCGAGTCAAAACCCGGGCCGCCTGGGTGAAAAAACCTGGAATCCTAACCGCTACATACATACAGTTGATGCCAAAGCTTTGCATACCCTGGCAGAAATTGTGAAATTTTGGAATTGATATTGAAAATATGACTGATCATGCCAAAAAAACTGTCTTTTATTTAGGGATAGTGATCATATGAAGCCATTTATTATCACATAGTTATGTGGCTCTTTTTTTAAATCACAATGGTAACAGAAATCCCCCAAATGGTTCTGATTGGAAGTTTCTATCCCCTGCAATGTTTGGCCTTGGTACAGATACAGAAGGTGACACACGGGTTACAATGACAATTAAAGGGTAATTTCCCACATTTCTGGCTTTTTAAATTGCAATTAGTGTCTGTGTATAAAAAGTCAGTGACTTTGTTAGCTTTCATGTGGATGCGCTGAGCAAGCTAGATACGGAGCCATGAGGAGTAGAAAAGAACTGTCAAAAGACCTGCATAACAAGGTAATGGAACTTTATAAAGATGGAGAAGGATATTTGTATCAAAAGCCAGTCAGTACTGTTCAATCACCAATTAAGAATTCTGGGATCTCGATACAAAGCCAAGGGCAGGTAGACCAAGAAAGACTGCAGCCACAACTGCCAGAATTGTTCAGGATACAAAGAAAAACCCGCAGGTAACCACAGGAGATATACACGCTGCTCTGGAAAAAGATGGTACAGTTGTTTTTAGGGAGCACAATATGGTGATACTCAAACAAAAATGAGCTGCATGGTCGAGTTGCCAGAAAACAAAGCTTTTACTACATTGGCAAAGGCTACAAAAAAAAAAAACTGCTTACAATATGCCTGACAACACCTTGACATGCCTCATCAGGCTGCTGTCAAGCAGACTGAAGTGCTCCACACTTGATTAGAGGTTGTTAAGTACTGGATAGCAGCCTGTTGGTCAATGTGGTACCACAACAACTGCAGAGAGAGCGGTCAGAATGGACAAAGTGATTTCAGTAAAACCAACAACTTTAAACATGTGTGTGCATTTGTTAACATGTGCACACCATCACAAGGTCACCAGGATTGAACGTGATGAGGAATCCGACAGTTGTCAGGGGAACAGGGGAGAGGGGAAATCCTTGAATGTGGACAGCCAAGAGAGACTTTGCCTGACTTTGGACAGATTTCCTCTCACTTCCTGTTGTGTCCCTGGGACAGGTAGTGAGAAGAAATCTCCCCAATGGGTCATCAACACACATGAAAAAAAAAACCCAACAATCAATAGGGGTTTAAAATCACCCCTATTGTTTCCAAAGCTAAAAAGTCTTCAAGTGGTATCTGGACGCCCATTAGCTCCCCCTACGGCTCATATCTGGAAATGCAGTCCAGTCCTCAGCTAACCTCATCTTCTATTCCCTATACAGACATTGTTTATTCATAAAGTGGAGACTCACGGCAGCAGCAAACCCAAAATGACATGCCTATGAAGGGGAACTTGTGGTTAATCAATACAATAAGGGCTGAGGTTAGCGGGAATGGGAGCACGGACAGGGCAAGGCTTAATGCTATTAAATAGGCAAGCTGACGGCGACTGCGAGAGAGGGATGAAAGAGAAGAAACATAGCATGCCTATCCTTTTCCTACAACGGCATGAAGCAATGCTCGGCCAATCACTTCAGCAGGAGCTGGTGACATCACTATTGACTTGTAATCATTTCCATTGATAATAAACCAGTGATTTTTTTCCTTGATTTTTCTCCTGACTTCTAGGAAAAACATACACTCAGATGACATTGCTTGTAACCTGTGTGCTTCCTGAACCTGTCAGGATACAAAACACCTTTTATGGGGCCCATTCACACCAATGGGATCAACTGCGATGCATGCAATGCACATGTGTTACCATGCATTAGGGTTGATTTACTAAAGGCAAATAGACTGTGCACTTTGCAAGTTTAGTTGCTCTGGAGCTTAATGAATGAGGTGAAGCTACACTTTGCAAAGAATACCGAATCACATGCAAGGAAAACAAAAAAAAACGGAATTTTTTGGCTTGCACATGATTGGATGATGGAAGGCAGCAGAGCTTCCCCTTATTTATTAAGTTCGGGAGCAATGTACAAGGTGCACAGTCTATTAGACTTTAGTAAATACATATACATATAAAATGCAGCGCTGTAAAATGATCAAATCATGCAAATCAACACAATAATAGTCCTGAAAAGGTGCTCATTAATTCCCAGTGTCAATGGAAAGAATGCAAACTAACCAGAAGCGCATTTAAAGTACGCATGTGTGTAAGAAATCCTGGAGATTCCCCTCTCTCCCTCTGGTCAGAAAATGGATATGTGCTGAAATGGATGATGATATGCATACTTTAAATGCGCTTCTGGTTAGTTTGCATTCTTTCCATTGACACTGGGAATTAATGAGCACCTTTTCAGGACTATTATTGTGTTGATTTGCATGATTTGATCATTTTACAGCGCTGCATTTTATATGTATATGTTTTATTGAGGATTTTTATATGCGTTTATCCTGGATGTTCAGCTGCTGTTTCTTTGAGAGCGCTCACTGTGTCTTTTACCTATACAGCTTTAGTAAATACACCCCACTAACAACCACTTCCAGCCCGGCCTATAGTCAAATGACGGCCGGGCAGGACATTCACTGTTCTGGGTGGACATCATATGACATACTCCCAAAACCCGCCTCTCATGCACCCTAAGGGCCACGCTGTGGTGGGATCTGTCACCTGCTGTGTCCACTGGACATAGCCGATTACCAATCAGTCTACTGACTGCTACCAGTACCATTTGTAAATCCGCTCCTTTGTGTCACACATTAACCGCTTCCCGTCCGCCCAATAGCAGAAGTACTGCTACAGGGCGGCACGTGATCATGCATTTCTGGATAGGGGGCCCTACCCACACCACCATTCGCAGCCTCAGCTGTAAATCATCGAGTCCCAGATAGAGATTACTCGCCAGCGCCTGGTGATTGCCGAGCATCTCCGACGGGGGGGGGGGACTGTATATAAACAATACAGTTCTCTCATCTGTCAGCTCATGCACACTGCTTTACATGGCTGTGCATTGCACAGCCATGCAAAGCAGTGTGCTTACAGTGAATCACAGACACAGCCCACTATGTAAAACAGCACACAGTTAATCCTTTGATCACCCCAGATGTTAACCCCTTCCTGCCCAGTGCCATTAGTACAGTGTCAGTGCTTTTTAGCATTTTATTATAATTTTTGGTTATAAACTAATTTGGGTTTTTTTTTTTTTTTACTAAAAGGATAACGGAATAAATTTTGGCCAAGATTTATGAACAAAGATTATTTATTTGCAAAATGCTTACTACGTGTGAAATCTGTGAATGATCACAGAGGTCACATGGTACAGGACTATTCACAACAACCTTGTACCATGTGACAAGCTGTGACCAATCACAGCTCACAGAGTAGTTCTCAATGACTGCAAGAATGCAGCTAGAGAGAAGGAGAAATGATTGCTTTTACAGCCTTTGTGGGTGTAAAAGCAATCAGTGTAAGAAAAAAAAAAATCTTCATCACCCCCCACAAGTAGTATAGTGTCACCATGGTGACACTGTACTGCTAGGGTGACAGTATGTAAAAAAAAAAACAAATAATAATAAAAAAATGTTTAAAAATTATAATTTTTGGTTATAAACTAATTTGGGTTATTTTTTTTTGTTTTTTACTAAAAGGATAACGGAATACATTTTGGCCAAGATTTATGAACAAAGATTATTTATTTGCAAAATGCTTACTATGTGTGAAATCTGTGAATGATCACAGAGGTCACATGGTATAAAGCTATTCACGACAACCTTGTACCATGTGACAAGCTGTGACCAATCACAGCTCACACAGTAGTTCTCAATGGCTGCAAGAATGCAGCTAGAGAGAAGGAGAAATGATTGCTTTTACAGCCTTTGTGGGTGTAAAAGCAATCAGTGTAAAAAAAAAAAAAAAAAAAAAAATCTTCATCACCCCCCACAAGTAGTACAGTGTCACCATGGTGACACTGTACTGCTAGGGTGACAGTATGTAAAAAAAACATAAAAAACAAATAATAATAAAAAAAAAATGTTTAAAAATTATAATTTTTGGTTATAAACTAATTTGGGTTATTTTTTTTTTTTTTTTTTACTAAAAAGATAACGGAATACATTTTGGCCAAGATTTATGATGAAATACTATTTATTTGCTAAATTTTATAAGAAAAACACTTTTTTTCAAAATTTTTGGACTTATTCATTTACATAGCAAAAAAAAATAAAAATCCCAGTGGCGAATAAATACCACCAAAATAAAGCTTTATCTGCATCAAAAAAATGCAAAAAAATTAATATGGGTACAGTGTTGCATTACCACGCAATTGTCATTCAAAGTGTGATAGCGCTGAAAGCTGAAAATTGGCCTGGACAGGAAGGGGGTGAAAGTGTCCGGACTTGAAGTGGTTAAGCAATGCATGTCAATTGGCCAATGGATTGCACGGCACCAACGCATGTAAAGTGCGGTACAGCAATATGCGTAGTACAGTGATAGCGTGCCTGGGTCCTCACTAGCTTGTGTTTGAAGGGGCTGTCATTCTCCTCTCTACATCATGGGGATAATCCCACCAGGTACAGTTTTTTTTGGACTTTCTTTTATTAACCTGCTACACATTTTTTCTAATCTGTACAATGACACATGCCAGACATAGATCCCTGAACGCAAAGGGCACTAAACGTGGGCGGCACTCAATACATAATCCAGATGCAGCATTTCCATCTGTCATAGAATTTGACAGGCTTCAGACAACGGGGCTGGACACTGTCCCTGTGTCTCCCAGGCATGCGAAGACTCCACCATTGGATGCACACGGGCTAAATTCCCAACGTCCCGGTGCCCTTCGTGTTGTAGAAGAATTTTGTAGTTAAGGCTAAAATTTATTGGTTTAATTAGATTATTTTGCCTTCCCTGGTCCGCTCCCCCCCTTATTCCCCCTGCATCAACATGATGATCACATTCTTATTAAAAATTTTCCATTTTCATTACATACCTTATGTTGGAACCAGCGACATTATCACTGGCTCTCTGTGCTTTTCTCTGCATAGCAACAGATCATGGCTGGGCCTGAAATAAGGTATGTAATTAGTGGTGCACCGAAATGAAAATTCTGGACCGAAACCGAAAATTCAGGATGCACTTGGCCGAAAAACCGAAACAGACAGTTAGAAAAAAAAAAAAGTGATATATAAAATTGTACTGTGTTCGACTTTTTAACCCCTCGCCTACCGGGCACTTATACCCCCTTCCTGCCCAGGCCAGTTGTCAGCATTCAGTGCTGTAGCACTTTGAATGACAATTGCGCGATCATGCAACATTGTACCCATATGAAATTTTTATAATTCTGTTCAAACAAATAGAGCTTTCTTTTGGTGGTATTTAATCGCCGCTGGGTGTTTTATTTTTTGCGCTAAAAAAAAAAAAAGCAAAAAGCAAAAAATTTTGTCTCTATTATAAAATTTTGCAAACAAGTACTCCTTCACTGATGTACATTGATGAGGCTACACTGATAGGCAGCACTGATGGGCACTGATGAGGTGGCATAGATAGGCAGCACTGATGGGCACTGATAAATGGCACTGATGGGTGGCACTGACTGACAGCACTGCTGGGGGCACTCACTGGTGGCACTGATGGGCACAGGTGGGTGGCACTTCAGACTGATCATCAGTACCGATCCATTCTCTGACAATTGCCAGTTCTCAGCAGTACTTTCCTCACACTGTGACAGCAGGAAAGTGTGGCCGATAACCGGCAGCTGCATTTACCCGGTGAACTGCTGTCATTGGACATAGATGATCAGGGGTAAAAGGCCGCTGTGATTGGCCTTTTACCACATCACGTGATCAGCTGTGTCCATAAAACACAGAGATCACTGGATGTGCGCCCCCGGTGGCGTGCGGGGAGGGCGATTTCTGGGACAACATCATATAATGTCCTCCCAGAACTGGGTAACTGCGCACTGCACTGCATTACATTCTTCCAGACCATGCTGGCTGAGGAAACTCAAAAACTCACCCGGAAGTGAAGTCTTACATGTCACTTCTGGGTCATGAATGAGATGGGGAGCAGAGCGGATGTGTGTTACTTTACCCGCATGTGTGGAAGAAATTGGGTGGCAGTGGAGCCACCCGAATGCTTCCACCTGACAAGTGAGCCCTGCTGCTGGCCCACAGCAGGGCTAACTGTAGAAAAAAAGGCACCTGCTTGACACCCAGAAATACATGCGGGGGTGTCGGGTGATACAAATTGTGCAACCCCCCAACAGTGAATCGGCTGACAGAATGCAATTTATAAGTGTACAATCCAAACACACACGTTCCTGAGTTAAAATGGCGGTGTGTGTAAGTGGGTGTTGCAGCGCCCATCGGCTGGAACTGAACAGAATCAACAAGGGAGAATGTCACCAGCACACCGAGGATCACCAATAAGGGTCCAAACGTTTTACTGAACGATCACATAGTTACAGCAAGGCAAGGACGTTTCAAAGTCTCATCAGGGCTCATGAAGGGATCCTGCGAGACTCCGAAACGTTGCCTTGCTGTAATTATGTGATCGCTCATCAAAACTGATGAAAGGATCCTACGAGACTCCGAAACATCCCCTTGCTGTAACTATGTGATCGTTCATTAAAACTGGTGAAGGGGTCCTGCGAGACTCCGAAACATTCCCTTGCTGTAACTATGTGATCATTCATTAAAACTGATGAAGGGGTCCTACGAGACTCCGAAACGTTGCCTTGCTGTAACTATGTGATTGTTCATTAAAACTGATGAAGGGGTCCTACGAGACTCCGAAACGTTGCCTTGCTGTAACTATGTGATCGTTCATTAAAACTGATGAAGGGGTCCTACGAGACTCCGAAACGTTCCCTTGCTGTAACTATGTGATCGTTCATTAAAACTGATGAAGGGGTCCTGCGAGACTTCCAAAACGTTCCTTGCTGTAACTATGTGATCGTTCATTAAAACTGATGAAGGGGTCCTGCGAGACTCCGAAACGTTCCCTTGCTGTAACTATGTGATTGTTCATTAAAAACTGATGAAGGGGTCCTGCGAGACTCCTGAAAACATTCCCTTGCTGTAACTATGTGATCGTTCACTAAAACTGATGAAGGGGGTCCTGCGAGACTCCGAAACATTCCATTGCTGTAACTATGTGATCGTTCATTCTAAAACTGATGAAGGGGTCCTGCGAGACTCCTTGCTGAAATGTTGCCTTCGCTGTAACTATGTGATCATTCATTAAAACTGATGAAGGGTCTCTGGGATCCTACGAGACTAAACATTCCTTTGCTGTAACTATGTGATCGTTCATTAAAACTGATGAAGGGGTCCTGCGAAGACTCCAAAACGTTCCCTTGCTGTAACTATGTGATCGTTCATTAAAACTGATGAAGGGGTCCCTGCGGAGACTCCGAAACGTTCCCTTGTTGTAACTATGTGATTGTTCATTTAAAACTGATGAAGGGGTCCTGCGAGACTCCAAACGTTGCCTTGCTGTAACTATGTGATCGTTCATCAAAAACTGATGAAGGGATCCTACGAGACTCCGAAACATTCCTTGTTGTAACTATGTGATCGTTCATTAAAACCGATGAAAGGGGTCCTGCGAGACTCCGAAACGTTCCATTGCTGTAACTATGTGATCGTTCATTAAAACTGATGAAGGGTCCTGCGAGACTCCGAAATGTTCCTTGCTGTAACTATGTGATCGTTCATTAAAACTGATGAAGGGGTCCTGCGAGACTCACGAAACATTCCCTTGCTGTAACTATGTGATCGTTCATTAAAACTGATGAAGGGGTCCTGCGAGACTCCGAAACATTCCTTGCTGTAACTATGTGATCGTTCATTAAAACTGATGAAGGGGTCCTGCGAGACTCTGAAACGTTCCCTCGCTGTAACTATGTGATCGTTCATTAAAAACTGATGAAGGGGTCCTGCGAGACTCCGAAACGTTCCATTGCTGTAAACTTATGTGACGTTCATTAAAACTGATGA